TTTGATGATTGAAATGTGCAATTCTGATAACGCTATTTATAGCATTGAGAGGCGACCAGCAGACCCACAGATACTATAACTAACAACCTTAGCTTCAATTCTGTTCAGGAAATTGAGGTTATTCACATATATGTTTCGTTTTACCAGGAAATTACATGCATTATATAACTTTATTATCTTTATAAATTTTCATCCTCAATTTTTTATTCTATATATATATATATATATATATATATATATATATATATATATATATATATATATATATATAGAGGCGGGTTCAGGTGCGGCAGTGTCTTACGGTGCGGTTATTTCTTACGGTGCGGCAACACCAACAGTTCACCAAATATGCACCATCAACGTTAGGAAATACACCACACAAAACAGAGTAAACAGAGCCCTGCATCACCAAACACACACCATTAGGTGTGAGTAAAAACACCATACACTGTTCGGAAATACACCATTGGGGGTGGTGAGTTATATGGTGTGTTTTTTTGAGTCTGTGGTGTATTTTGTGATGTTTTACTACATTTCATTGGGGTGTACGTGGTTTTATTACACTGTTGGTGCATATTGTTAACACTGTTGGTGTATTATGGAATTTGACCGCACCGCCGCACCGTAAGACCCCGCCGCATATGAGCGCTCTTCTATATATATATATATATTGGTTCCTGTGAGATCATGTCTTCCCGTGCGGTCAGTGCGGCATACACTATTAGGTATGTATAAATGCACCATACAGTGTTCGAAAATACACCAGAATGAAATGTCAAAAAATACACCACACAAAAGAATACACCACACATAATGGTGTATTTACGAACACTGTGTGGTGCATTTTTGCATACCTAATGGTGTATACCGCACTGACCGCACGGGAAGACCTGACCTTATATATATATATATATATATATATATATATATATATATATATAATATTTGTTCTATTTTTACTCCAAAATATAATCAAATTTAGGAATTAAAAAAAAAAGTAGAAGTGTCATGGCAATCACAAGTAAAATAAACTATTCAAAATTTAATACCCTTTAATAAATTTATATTATAAAATATAATACACATATGTGATAAATATATGGTCCTTAACATATATAAAGTAATGTGATATATATATATAGGAATTATAGGAGGTTTAAGTTTCAGTGCAGGTGAATGCTTCCCGTGTGGTTGTGCGGGTGATTAATGTATGTGCGTGAGTTTTGTACTTATTGTGTGTGAGTCTTGTGCTTACGGTGTGTGAGATTAGTGCTTAATGTGCGTGGGTTTTGTACTTAAGGTGGGTGAGTCTTGTGCTTAAGGTGTGTGAGTTTTGTAGTTAATGTGCGTGAGTTTTGCCTGTGATGCAATACAAAACAAATTCCAAGGTATATATACCAATTAAATTTAATGTCAACTTTATTTCACTTTTGATTTCTTGGTTACAAGTAGGATATTTACTTTTTACTATTTATATATACTCTACGCGAATTTGATTTGTTTACTTAGGCCGATCTTATCCCGGTCAAGATCTTAATTTCTTTTTTTGAAGGTCAATCAATGAGTTGTATTTATAGATGAATCAAAATAGAAACTGGTGGGATATCGTCCCAGTACATAGCTACTGTGTAATTAAAAGCGGTTGCTGCTAAAGTATGAGCTAAACTATTATGCGATCTAGAAATAAAATTAATCGAGCAATAATCAAACATAGCCATATAGGCTCTGCAGTCATCCTGGACGTAAGCAAGATAGGATCGTGGATGAATAGCGGTTGACGATAGGTAGATCTGTAGCGTCTGACAATCTGTATAAAGACTAACCGATTGTTCTCCCCGCCCTTTGAGCCGTGATAACACTTCTCTGCATGCTATAGCCTCGGCATAAGTGGTGAGAAGCAGCTTTGCGGTGGTGCACATAATGCCGATATATAGTCGCCGTGATGGTTGAATAATACCGCTCTAGTGGCGGCTGTCATGGACGATGGGTGGTAGCCAGCATCGATGAAGCATCTTTTCGAATGTGGTGGGAGAGTTTCGGCATCCGGTGTAGGTAGGTGGTCCGTGGAGAGATGGTACGGCCCAGCAGCGTCGATGTTGGCAGTGTCGCTTGTGGCTGCTGTTGGGCGTGGGGATCGCCGGTGGCGGGGGACGCCATGTTGGCAGTGGTGTGCACCTGCCGCCAGGCCTTCAATGTGGCTACAGCTGTAGCTACAATTTTTTTCGCATCGGTAGACATACGTTCCAGACTGCTTCGTTTCGGGCCCTCCAGATACCGTATAAGATGGCTGCTGCAAATAATATTCCGTCAGAATCTAGAACATTTAACATTGTTCTAAACCATTCATGAAATTTTTTTGTCACAGTTTGGGAAATTGGAAGGTTAGATTGGCTCCAAATGGTTTTTGCATAATCACACTGACGGTAATAACGTTACCGGTAAATAATAATATAACAATGCTATAATAGAATACGATAGTTGTATTGCTTTTGTCTCAGTATAGAAAGTACAATGTGTCCACTGCTCAGCTGAGGGAAGTTCTATTTATGCTAGGTCCTAACGGTAACAATATGAAGAGTCATCATTGGGGAGCTGATGTACGGGAAAGAGATGGTGAGTAACGGGTGTAAATTGTCGTTCCGCAAGGGATTGGGACTATGGCACGTACTTGAGTGACAACTAAAATTCTAGGCACCAAAGTATTGGAACCCACAAGAATCCAAGCAAATTCAAATTCATGGTTGGGTAAAGTTAATAATTAAAGGCTAAAAATCTAGTTAAGACAATGCAATTTAAACACAAGTAAACACAATGATAAAAGATGGGCTCAAATTAGGGGATTGGTGTAGCAAAAATAAGATGTGAGCTCGGGTGTTATGTCGTCCTCAGGGGATTGGGGGATATGGCACGCAATATGCAATCACAATAAACTAGGCACTAGCATAAGGAAATCAACAAGAAGCTAAGCAAACTACAAGTTTAAGGAAATGATAAGACTAACACATATACACAAAGATAAACACAAAATAAAGAAATAGGACTCAAGCTAGGGAGCATTATCATCTAGATGCATAGCACAACCTAAGGATTGGGGAAAATCACACAACCAAGGAATAGAGGGGATGCACGTAGGAATCCTAGTCTATAAGTCACTCACGTGAGCAAATTAGCTAGGATTAGAACAAGGAATTGCCCCACTCTCGTGGTGAATCAACTCCAAGTTCTTCAAGAACACAAAGCATCTAAAACCCCCAATTTCTCCCATTTTCATAGGAAAAATCGGGTTTATGCAAGGAGTGGCTTGGAATCGTGACCCAACTCTCATTGAGGCCAATAATCCTCCAAAACATGTCAATGAATGTTGTACACCAAGCATTAACAAAATACAAACACAAATCCTTCATAAACTCAAGAACCCTAGGTAGGCAAAATCCCCTTTATGCAATAATCACAAATCAAGCATCAAGATATATAATACAACCCTAACTCAAGTCCATAAACTAACTACTCATGATTTAATAGCATAAAGAACACAAAAACACAAGTAATAAGCATAAACATTGCAAGATAAAGAGATAAAAGGGAGAAGAAAACTTCACTAAGAAATGGATGGTAAATCTTGGAATCCAAGTGTTGAATCCTTGAATACAAGCTTGAAATATGATAAAGAACCTAAATCTACACCTAATCTAACACTAAAATATGAAAAGAAAGAGTAGAAAATAGTTAGGGTTCGAATGGGGTTCAAAACCATGTAAAAATGAGTGAAAACTCAGCTAAAATAGAGCAGAGACGAGGGGCTCGACGCGTCGAGAGTAATTCTCGACGCGTCGAGAATTTACAGATTGCAAAACGCGATCACACTGCCCAGATTCGACGCGTCGAGAAAATTCTCGACGCGTCGAGTGCTTCTCTGCAACGCAACTCCGACTTGTAGGTTGATTTTGACCACTTTATGCTCAGAATTAGGCTTCGATGTCTTCATGAAAGTTTTAGATCTTCGAGTCTTCTTTCCAATGGCGCAAGAATTACATAATTTGGATATTCCTAGGCCGAGATATGATCAAATTACCAAACAGTGGTCAGTTTCGGGTTAAATCTGTAAGTTCGGAACTTCAACTTCAAAGATGATTTTGACCACTGTGGATTCCTTTTTAGGCTTTTATGTCTGAATATGAGTTGTAGCCCTTTGAGTCTTCTTTGCAATGGGACAAGAATCATGTAATTTGGATATTTTTAGCTTGAGATATGGTCCAAAAACCATGACGTCGACTTGCAGGTCGGGAATTTCAATTACATGATCTTTTGCTTCTCTTTTGCTTTGGTTTGCCCAAATGATTAAGACCATTGAATACACCACTCTTAGGCTTCCTTGGAAGTGTTTTGCTCATCACCTTAGCTTCTCCTTGGCTCCCATGAACCCTAAATGTATCCATAATGCTCCACTTGACTCCAATGTCCTTCAAAATGCATGAAAATATTCATTTTTGCTTCCAAAGCTTTTCAAACCAAATTCCTTGCAAAATAACACAAATTAGTCATAATCTAATGAAATTTTGAATGATCTATAAAAAAAATGGCTTAGTGAAAGGAGCAAAAATATAGACTAATAAGCGCTTATCAACTCCCCCACACTTAAACCTTTGCTTGTCCTCAAGCAAAAACAAGAAATAAATCACCAATCTTGCAATGAAATTGATCATACTCCCACTTTGCACAACCTATCAAACCACAAACCAACTTGCTACAAGACAACTTGTTTCAAGAATCATTTTAGCCTTCCACACAAGTTCAATTCTCAAGCCAATAACCAAGCACCAAAATTATTTAAGGTGTGTGATGATCAAGTGTGCACAAATGCTAAGTTGAGATTATGCAAAACTTGGCTTTGAATGAGATTCCATAGGCTTGCCCTTCATACTCCCACTAGTTCAACTCTATGATTGCATGCTAAGATCAAGTAGGACTTTTATTTGGCTTGTAATGGGGCTAAGGGTGAA